GTCCAGTGTCCGCACCAATAGCGCTGCTTCCTAGCAGAGGTGGATTCATGAGTCACCAGACTCCCAAGGTCTTCGACCTCCAATTTATCCATGCCTCATGATGTTCCAACCGTGTCATACCAAGATTAAGGTCATATTTTAAATCCAAGTCTAAAAGTAAGCAGCGCTCCACGCTATCGAAGTCAAGAAACTTGACACCGAGATCCACAAGAACCCCCAGCACAGTGGCACAGCGAACAGTGACAGTGTCACTCAGACGCGCTTCCAGCGCCATAGCAAAAGCTGACTTCCTTCGATCGTGGAGAGTCGATCATACTTGCCCAACGCCCCGCAACTGACCAGAATCTTACATGGCTTCTCACGAGACTTCACGGTCGCTTTTACGACCGGCAAGCCCGGCTTGCGACCACGATTCGTGTTCAAGAGCACGAAGCACTTCGTGGCTGGGCCCCGCTGCCCACTACCTCTCTGAGGCACAACAGAACTTAGTTCTTCTCCAGTAGGGCGCCTCATGCCTACTGGGTTTTGCCGTTTCCCTGAGACAAACCAGACTGGTTAGAAGCAAGACGTTGGTTCAATGAGCTTTACGCGTCTTGCGCAGGAGACAACCATTCTGAAGGTGCCAAGTGTCTCCACAGACCAAACACCGTCGGGTATTTAAGCACTGCTTGGCAGCTCGGAACTCCCTACCCTTTTCAGCATTGCTCAGATCCATTGGATCAGGCCCATACGACAAGCTCTGAGGGTTTGCATTCCAACCAAGTCGTGCCAACTCAAAGTTGAATTCGGCTTTTAATGCCACATTCACCGCTTCTTCAAATGAAGACGGATGCGCACGGAAGACTCCCATTCTGGCCAACCCCATGCGGAGACCCTCCATAAAGTCGGCCACTGTGACCGCCTCGGGGAGAGGATCGGCAGCCATCCCGGCAATGAAAGTACACAACACCTGGACAAAGTCCACCAACTCCTTCTTGCTCTGTCGGGCGGCAAGGAAACGCGAAAGCACGTGGTATGCCTGGTTAGGCGGCGAGAACACTCGCAAAAACTGACGCTTCTGCATTTTCCAGGGGATAACGTCCATTCAACCGAGTACCGCACGTTAATGCCCATTCTTGCTCTCGGCCCCCGAGCAGAGCAGGAGATACTCTTCCTTCTTATCCTCGAAGGTCTTACCGCTCACGCAGCCTGGGTCGGGAGGTGTCATCCTTCGTCGGCAGTGGCGTCATTGACGCAGTCGATACCGACATCTTCCTCTCTAGTTGCTCTAGCAGAGCATTTTTATAGTTCGAAAACGCCCGTTTATCGCTTCGGGTCCTTGCAAAACAAGGTGTTCCACGCCCTCAGGGCCAAACAGGGTCATCAGCTTATTAAGCCCATCCAGCATGCCATGGGGCAAATAGGAGAACTGCAACATCCTCACAGAGGATCTGTCGTAACGACCCAGGCGTAGATTGACTACGAGTGCTACCAAGTGCAGCGGGGCTGCTAGCTCTTTGCTCAGAGGAAGCTAAGCTAAGGGCAATGACCTTACGTTCTATACCAGAACCAGTGCGAGTGTAGCGGATCGCAATCCACTACCACATAAGATTTCTTAAAACCTTGACGACGCTCTTCCGTTCAAAATTAAATGTGTAGTATCTGCGATAGAGCCGCCTATATCTTAGGTTTTCCTAATTAAATAGTAAAGCCTGATTAATATGCATGACTC